CCTGATATTCTACATAATTAATACGACAGCTATCCTAGCAGTCGTGATCATGATCTCGATAGAATCGATCAATGTTATGAGTTTCCTTTACCGTATGTGGTTCTATCTGGCGTAGTTGTGAAGAACCATTGCAACAATAAAAAATTAGAAAATTACTCTTTTTTCTCAGTTTGAATACTGTAACAAGCATTCAGATTAGCGTTCTTACTTGTTTCTAACAAGAACGAAATGGTTCAGAATCACAAAACCCCGTCTTCCAAGCACAATCAGCATTGAAACAAGTGAAATCGAAACTTTATTCAGAAAAAGAAGGAAAAACATGGTTTTCATTCAATATTCACAGACAGATTGGTATTTCAGGTGATGAAAGCTGATCACAAGAGACAGCTACATTCCATACTGTCATTCTTATATACCGAACATGAGGCTGATAAAACTCATTTTTTGCTGATAAACATGAAAAACAGTTCAATCCTATCAGTATGCCTACTCCACAAACAGAGATGTTTTGCTATGATATCGCGAAAATTGAAAATAATTTGCGCTCATAACACAAGATTGATCTTTCAAGAACGGTTCATCTGTATGGTCATGGAAAACAGAGTTCTCTGATATGAGCTAGCTTGCATCTCCGAGTTTTTCACCCTGATATTCTACATAATTAATACGACAGCTATCCTAGCAGTCGTGATCATGACCTCGATAGAATCGATCAATGTTATGAGTTTCCTTTACCGTATGTGGTTCTATCTGGCGTAGTTGTGAAGAACCTTTGCAACAATAAAAAATTAGAAAATTACTCTTTTTTCTCAGTTTGAATACTGTAACAAGCATTCAGATTAGCGTTCTTACTTGTGTCTAACAAGAACGAAATGGTTCAGAATCACAAAACCCCGTCTTCCAAGCACAATCAGCATTGAAACAAGTGAAATCGAAACTTTATTCAGAAAAAGAAGGAAAAACATGGTTTTCATTCAATATTCACAGACAGATTGGTATTTCAGGTGATGAAAGCTGATCACAAGAGACAGCTACATTCCATACTGTCATTCTTATATACCGAACATGAGGCTGATAAAACTCATTTTTTGCTGATAAACATGAAAAACAGTTCAATCCTATCAGTATGCCTACTCCACAAACAGAGATGTTTTGCTATGATATCGCGAAAATTGAAAATAATTTGCGCTCATAACACAAGATTGATCTTTCAAGAACGGTTCATCTGTATGGTCATGGAAAACAGAGTTCTCTGATATGAGCTAGCTTGCATCTCCGAGTTTTTCACCCTGATATTCTACATAATTAATACGACAGCTATCCTAGCAGTCGTGATCATGACCTCGATAGAATCGATCAATGTTATGAGTTTCCTTTACCGTATGTGGTTCTATCTGGCGTAGTTGTGAAGAACCTTTGCAACAATAAAAAATTAGAAAATTACTCTTTTTTCTCAGTTTGAATACTGTAACAAGCATTCAGATTAGCGTTCTTACTTGTGTCTAACAAGAACGAAATGGTTCAGAATCACAAAACCCCGTCTTCCAAGCACAATCAGCATTGAAACAAGTGAAATCGAAACTTTATTCAGAAAAAGAAGGAAAAACATGGTTTTCATTCAATATTCACAGACAGATTGGTATTTCAGGTGATGAAAGCTGATCACAAGAGACAGCTACATTCCATACTGTCATTCTTATATACCGAACATGAGGCTGATAAAACTCATTTTTTGCTGATAAACATGAAAAACAGTTCAATCCTATCAGTATGCCTACTCCACAAACAGAGATGTTTTGCTATGATATCGCGAAAATTGAAAATAATTTGCGCTCATAACACAAGATTGATCTTTCAAGAACGGTTCATCTGTATGGTCATGGAAAACAGAGTTCTCTGATATGAGCTAGCTTGCATCTCCGAGTTTTTCACCCTGATATTCTACATAATTAATACGACAGCTATCCTAGCAGTCGTGATCATGACCTCGATAGAATCGATCAATGTTATGAGTTTCCTTTACCGTATGTGGTTCTATCTGGCGTAGTTGTGAAGAACCTTTGCAACAATAAAAAATTAGAAAATTACTCTTTTTTCTCAGTTTGAATACTGTAACAAGCATTCAGATTAGCGTTCTTACTTGTGTCTAACAAGAACGAAATGGTTCAGAATCACAAAACCCCGTCTTCCAAGCACAATCAGCATTGAAACAAGTGAAATCGAAACTTTATTCAGAAAAAGAAGGAAAAACATGGTTTTCATTCAATATTCACAGACAGATTGGTATTTCAGGTGATGAAAGCTGATCACAAGAGACAGCTACATTCCATACTGTCATTCTTATATACCGAACATGAGGCTGATAAAACTCATTTTTTGCTGATAAACATGAAAAACAGTTCAATCCTATCAGTATGCCTACTCCACAAACAGAGATGTTTTGCTATGATATCGCGAAAATTGAAAATAATTTGCGCTCATAACACAAGATTGATCTTTCAAGAACGGTTCATCTGTATGGTCATGGAAAACAGAGTTCTCTGATATGAGCTAGCTTGCATCTCCGAGTTTTTCACCCTGATATTCTACATAATTAATACGACAGCTATCCTAGCAGTCGTGATCATGACCTCGATAGAATCGATCAATGTTATGAGTTTCCTTTACCGTATGTGGTTCTATCTGGCGTAGTTGTGAAGAACCTTTGCAACAATAAAAAATTAGAAAATTACTCTTTTTTCTCAGTTTGAATACTGTAACAAGCATTCAGATTAGCGTTCTTACTTGTGTCTAACAAGAACGAAATGGTTCAGAATCACAAAACCCCGTCTTCCAAGCACAATCAGCATTGAAACAAGTGAAATCGAAACTTTATTCAGAAAAAGAAGGAAAAACATGGTTTTCATTCAATATTCACAGACAGATTGGTATTTCAGGTGATGAAAGCTGATCACAAGAGACAGCTACATTCCATACTGTCATTCTTATATACCGAACATGAGGCTGATAAAACTCATTTTTTGCTGATAAACATGAAAAACAGTTCAATCCTATCAGTATGCCTACTCCACAAACAGAGATGTTTTGCTATGATATCGCGAAAATTGAAAATAATTTGCGCTCATAACACAAGATTGATCTTTCAAGAACGGTTCATCTGTATGGTCATGGAAAACAGAGTTCTCTGATATGAGCTAGCTTGCATCTCCGAGTTTTTCACCCTGATATTCTACATAATTAATACGACAGCTATCCTAGCAGTCGTGATCATGACCTCGATAGAATCGATCAATGTTATGAGTTTCCTTTACCGTATGTGGTTCTATCTGGC